CATAAAAGCAATAGAATTTTAAAAAAGGTAAGTATCTGTTTTATGTCAGTGCCACCTGTCTGACGTGGGATCTATTTCATCCTGATTCCTGAAGTCCCACAGCTGTTCAATTCTGAGTTTTACGCAAAGTCACAAAGTGACGACTGGTTTAGAACGCTCTGCTAGCCTGCAAACACGTCTGGTGACGGGTGTCTGCTCTCGTAGCTGAGGCATCTTTCTGTGGCAAGTGCCAGCTGCAAGACAAAGTCCTCTCTTTGCTCTCGTGTAGGGTTGTTTGCCCACCCTTTCTGGAACCTGCACAGTCCATTTACACAAACCCCATGGGATTGTCTCCATCCGCTGTGGGCTGACGTGTAACTGGGCAGGGAAGTCCTAGAGGTGGTGTGGTGCTACCAGCACACGGCAATGTTAATGGAAGTGATACTACCAATACTTTACACAGCATTACCTCTGCCATTAGCCTTCGTCTTCTGTTCTCTGTAGAGGAGGTGTAGGGGACAGCCTGCCAGTGCATCACCGGCCAGGTTCACTCCTTATGCTGCAGTAAGGAGTGGGGAAGCTCATGAAAGGGCTGTACAGTAGCGTGCATCTTTAGAGGATGGGAAGGTGGTGCTGCCTGACTTCAGCTCTATCAAATCCATCTGTTTCCCTGATTGACTGCCTTCCTGTGAGGGGGAGGATGCTGTGGGCCTGGCTGTGAATTTCTGGCAGTGGAAATCAGCATTTTCTGACAGCCTGGAAACTAGTCTGCCTCAGATTTTTTCCTTCAGATGAGCTGATCTCCATGTGATCTTAACATGTAAACTAGGTGGATTAAAAATAACCCCTCATTTGGAGTAATGCAGTAACACTGTCTGCAGCAAAGGTTTCCAGGCCCACAGAGGGGCTGGCAGGCTGCCTGCCATTTGTTTTCCATCTTAGACTAGGCTGCATTTCTGAACACATCTTCTGTTTCTGCTTTGTGGCTCTTAAAGCTCCTTGTTCCTATTAGCTTTTACATTTGTTCTTAACCTACAGGGACAAAGTTTCTATTACTAGCTGCTGTCATGGGAAAGGATTCTAGACATTCTCCATGGGCTGTTTTTTCACACAATACTTTGAGTGTGTTAGAAGAAACCTTTTTAGTAGGGTTGTGTGAAGCTTCAGTCACTGATTTGATTTGGTGGCCAAATCTCTGAATCTGAATCGAATCAGGAGACCCTTTAATCTCTCCGAATCGAATCGGAACCTGCCACTGGAAGTCTACCATAGCTGAAAATCCTGCTATGCAGTTTTCAGTTGGCTGTCGCATTCAGTCAAGAGATGCAATAAACACTTAAGAAATCAGATGATTCAGTAAAGCTTTTATCTGTCTGAACTCTGCTTTGCAAGACACAACTACATCATTTTAAAAAGAGAACACAACAGAAATATTGACAGCCTTTAAAATTAATGGTGCCCCAAGGTCGCTGATATGATGAAACAGTCCATTTTAAAGCAATCATCGGGTCCCATGGGCTATGAAAAGGTATGGTATGGTGGGAACTCGGCATCTGTAAGCAGATCTCCCTCACCAGGAAAAGAGCTATGACTCTGGACTGATCCTGTCTTACTGAAATCCTATATATGCCAGGGCATGCATGCAAGTGTATCTTATTTATCCAGTCAAGTGGTCTCTTGCCTAGAGCAGTGTCAGCATCATTTGTTAGGGTCCTTGTGATGACAGTCTGATGGATTGCTTTTGCTGCTCCATCCTGCAGAGCCTGGTGCAGTGGTATTTACAGTACTATTTTACAAATATCTATATCAGCTCCATGCTGCCACTGCCCTGCAAAATGATTCTTCAACAGCTCCTTGCCTCTTTGACAATCCAGCTTCTGTTTCCATGAGGAGTGCAACCTCCAGCTGACATAGCAGAAAGAGTCTCTGTAAAAAGAATATTGCTCTTGAATTTTCTCCTTGTTCACCTGCCCAGTGCACAGAATGAAGCAGGGACCCCAGACCACAAATATTATGTGGTCATGTGGCTAAAGACTATCATAATGCTATTGTCTAAAGCTGCTCAGATACCCATCAATCTGGCAGGGTTACTTGACGTTGCAACCAGGTTCGGTTCTGGATGACCAGGAAAAGGTAAATCTAATCTAGTGATCATCTTTAAAAGGGGAAAAAAGGGGACCTGGGGGACTTGCAGACCAGTCACTCTAATCTCAGTACCAGGACAGATTGTAGAGTAGGTCATCTAAGGACGGGCAAGCATGGATTCATCAAGAGCCACTTAGTGATGCCTGGCCTATGACAGTGACCTCTGTCGATGTGGGGGAGAGCAGTAGATATGACTGACTTTGACTTCAGCAGGGCTTTTGACACTGTCTCCCATGACATTTTCATTACTACACTAAGGAAGTACAGACCAGATAAAAGAACTAGAAAGTAGATGCATAATTGGTTAGATCTTCATGTTTGGTGAGCAGTCATCAGTGGCTTGATGTCTAGTTTGGAACTGAGATGGAGAGTCTTCTCCAGGGCACTGTCCTAGGTCCAGTGCTGTTTAATAGCCTCATTAATGATTTGGGGGATGGAACTGAGTGCACACTTATTAACTTTGCAGGTGACACCCTCGCTGGCAGCGGCAGAAGGCTGTTGTCCCAGCAAAAGTGGGGGATACTAGTGTATAGCAGGGGCTCCTGCCCTGTGAGAAGCCTCCCAGAAGGGGAGTGGGGTCTGTCTTACGGTGGGGGGAACCTAGTAGCAGGAGCAGCAGCATAGTCCGCTGCTGCTTGTTTGGTGTCAGTGTGACTACCTCTTCTAACACGCTGCATATTGCAAGCGGCATGCAAGGATGAGGAGAATGGTGATTTCTAGAGGACTGTTATTCTGCCAAATGTCCTCCATTTATGGGGCCATGAGTGCACCCCTCCACCCCACCCCCGTGTACCCTGAGGGCCCTCTACGCAAAATGTCAAAGACCTGCCACCATAGGCAGCAGAAGGCCAGGGCTAACAGGGATGCCCCCACCCCTCCAAATTGGGCCGGTTCCAGCACCACCAGTGCTGCAGCGCTGCTCCCAGCGCCCCCACCGCATGCTCCTCCACCACCACGTGCACAGCACCAGTGCACACCAATGGCCCTGCAGGAGGGAGAGGCAGAGTCAGGTGGGCGCACTCCATACCACTCAGCACCCCCAATTATATTTTCTAGTGCCGTTTGTCTGCCATGAATTCAGGATCTTGTGACTGTCTGAAAAGCTCTTTTTTAACAGGAGGTTAGGCACCCTTAACTGTCAAGGGAGCTAACAAATCTCCTGATAAGAAAGCGTCACTGAACCACATGGTGCTGGATATACCCACTCTCCCTGATTGCACTCCACTATAGCACTGCTGGTAAGCAGCTTTCTTTGTCATGAGTTCCTGTTACCTCCATGTGTACAGTACAAAGCAAATTTGGGTACATGCATGTGTGCATGCACTTTTGTGCTCAATTGCTCTCTAACTCAAGTCGTACTAGAGGCATAGTAACTGCCTCCGTGGTGGGTGCTCTTCTCTCTGCTTGTTTATGTTTATCTGAAAGAGCTGAAGGTGCAGAAACAGCAGGGCACGTACAGAAGGGCCCATTACAACCTGTAGCAAGCTAAGACAGGGCAGGGTGGCACGTTAGAGACTAAATGATTCAGAGGCGTAAGCTGTTGTGGGCAGCAGCTGATTTCATCACTTGCTGTGACTGGACTGCTGAAGTAGGCTGCTGCCCGTGAAAGCTTATGCCTCTCTGAACCAGGGAGTTGCCAGGGTGTGACCCTGCCCTGCCTTCTGCCTGATCCCAGACACCCACAGATAACCACCTCTCAAATCTGTGTCCAGTTCCTAACAAATATTCTGTGAAGGGCACGGAGTTGTGATGCGAGAGGGCTGGAGAAGAGAGGGAAAGCCAGCAGGAGGAGGGCTCCTCTCCTGGCTAAGGGGGAAGAACTGGGAGATGACAGCTGGTGGTACAGTGACCCACTAGCAAGAGAAGAGGTAGGGCAGGCCTAGCTAGTCCTGACCTCCAGCTTGGTGGCTTGTATGCTTGTCTGGGAGGCTGTCAGGTGGTCTCTTGGCTAATGTCTGTTATGCACACACCTCCCCAGCCAGAGTACTGGAGAAATCGGATCAGGCTAGAGACAGGGAGGCTTTTACTTCTTGTACCCAGGAGCCATCACCTTTAATAAAAAAAAAAAAA